TGGGGGGCGAAGGGAGATTGGAGGGGGGGGGGGTGGGGGGAGGGGATTGAATTTAATTATCGAAAATATCTGTTCGGACTGCTTGCATCGATATATAGTAACTAAGACTTGCAGTTAATTAAAAATGTCCTCTTGGCAAATCAGGTTGGGGGAGGGGGGGGGGGGGGGGGGAAGAAATTTTTTTAATTAATTTATAGTTAATTTCTATTAACTAGAATGACTATCCATTGAGATTGTAATTAAAGATAGATATTTTGTGTCATTCATGTGTCATAGGGGTTAACGCACACTTCAGTGACGTCAGAGGTCACAGATTTGATACTACTGTTTAGTATTCAGTTAACTGGTTATAGTCGGATGAAAACTAATGATCACAATAAGTTCACAAACCCTAAAAGTTCGCAATCTGGGGTAGGATTTTTGAAAAGCAAAGGGCAAAGTACGCAATTTCAAGGTCAAAGATCATGGAATGGGGTTTAACTTCATTGATACTGACGACCAACAGATATGGTTAACTTTAGCCAACGAAGTAAGTCGTTAACTGTTTTGAAAACTTAACTTCAGAAAAATTCGTTCTATCCAAGGTAACTTTTCAACGATTAGTTTAATTTTAGGCATAACTAAGACAAGAATATGATCGAATTTGTTAGCATTCGAATTAATTTGTGCTGCCGTTATCAGACTATGGGGATTGATCTATAAAGTGCGTACTGGCCGAACTATTAAGAGAAGTGATTGTTGATTACGATCCTCAGTGCTCTATAATACGAAATTCAAAATTTATTTTTACCTCAATGGACTTAGAAATGATCTTAATCTTATCTTTTGTCAAGACATTGCCTCCTATTCATCAATCTGAACGGGTGCTACCTAATATAATTTGAAGATTAATCTTTTTTTTCACTTAAATATCAGAAAAGATTGAAACATTTTAAGTAGTTAACTCAGGAAGTCAACCAACAGGTATTGTTATATTAGGAAATTACTCATTCCTGAAAGCCAGTCTAATTAATACTAACTTGATGGCCAATTCTTCAAAGGAAAGTTCCGACAGGCTACCATATTGAGGGAGAGTGGAGAGAAGTCACTACTGTAATAATCCTTATAATAATTATGGTAATGATAATTAAAACACCCTTGATTGGTCGTAAACCACAGCCACGTTGAGGGAGATAGGTAGGCAGGTGATAAAATTTTAATGCCTCTTCTCTCTACCTCTCGCTATTGCTCTCGCTCTCTTACTCTCACTACTGCTCTAAATGGCTACCACCAATAACTACCTTCCTCCTCTATTCATACTACCATTAACAGTCTCTAACCACATTCCTCTCCCTTTACCCAGCCTAATCAGTTATTCAAGGCGTAAAATTAATGTCGATATCTTACCTTCTTTTTTTTCTAGATGGAAACTTCCTTCGCTATCTCTGCTCCCTCTTCCAACAGAGCAGCCTTGCTGGCAACCATGGTCCAGTTTTAGCACCTGTCGATAAAGTGCCCATTTCTTTGCCACAATACCCCTTTCCTTTACCTCCTCGAGTTGACATGCCCTCAACCGTTTCCCCTAATTCGCTTGTTCCACACAATCACAGCATTATTTCTGCACCAACTGCACAGTCTAAAGTCTTCAAAGAGGAGGAAGGCAATGACCTGAAAACCACTACAACTTCGGACGGTGGAATGATACACAATAATAATAATCTTGACTCTCAGTATCAAATTGCCAAGAGATTCTTGAACAGTTTGATTTCCCAGAAAGTAAAGTGCGATGATGAATAGTCATACTCACTTACTGATTTGCTGACTTACTTACTTTCTTAATTGACTTCACATTCCAATGTAAAAATGTAATTAAATGCTTACCTTGAGTGGGTTAAACTCGTCGAAGTCTGCTAGGTTAAAAGAGATGTATGAAGGGGTTTCAAAGGTGTGAATATTGGTTGCTCTTTAACTTCAATCAAATTTCTGATGTCTAGAAGGAGGACTAGAAATAGGTGATCATTAAGCTTCAGGAGGATTCAAATCTCTACTCTTGAAAATCAACTCAATATCCACCCCCCCTTCCCCCCACCCCCTCCTTATAGTATTGATAACCACTATCAAATGAAATTGCACTTCTCATGCTGGAGTTTAAGTTCTAGGGAAATCTCCCCTGGTGATTTTAAAATTTGCCAAAATCTGGAACAAAATCATTTTTCCAATTCAGGAGTTATGTGATTATTTCAGCTATATTAGTAGGATAAGGTATTGAATTCCATGCGAGGACACTTAACACCATCCGCAATGGGAGTACAGAAACACCGAAACTTCTTGATTGAGAAAGCTGATCAACTGCACCTAATAGCCAAAGTAACTATTGCTCCCACCCGAGTTACGGATCTTGAAATGTTCACCTAGAAAGTACGTCCAACTATCCGAATTCAAAATTCAAACGAAACAAGCCTCTTTGAAACCTCGGTGCTCTCAGGGTCATTTTGACCATCACTCATTTAAAATTATATTTCGACTTCCAGTTATCCAATCTTAGTCATTTCTAGCAAATAAACATTGTAAATGTATGCCATTACGGTCAATTATTCGAACGTTCATAATGGCTGCTAAGTCAAACTCAATTTTCTATAGCGATGTGTAATGAAGAGGTAGGCATGAAACTGCTTCTTTTAACTTAGTGAAATCTGATGCTCACTTACCATATTTAAAGCTGCTTAATTAAATGAAGAGAAAAAGGTCCATCAATATACCCCAAAGAAATGAATCGAGGCTGGCAACGCATTCTAAGATGCAGAAATGTTGCATAAAGTCTCGTAGAGTTCTTTCCAAATGTGTCATTTTCTGAAAACTGCGCAAACCATGGCAACTTTTGCAAAATTAGCAAAATCGAGAACTTGAATATAATTGCAAATGGAGAAGGGTAGTGTGAAGTGAGTGATGAAGATAACTCGATGGAAATGGTCGCTGATTGGTGGATCGAAGCCAATGTGGAACTGCTTGTACCCAAGGTTGCCCTGAGGAAGGTAATAAGAATATGCATCGTTTAGAAGGTTCAAGCTTCGAATATGGGGTGTGCGATAGACTTACCTCCATGTGGTACACCCTGGGCAGCGTATACTCATACGACAAAAAGTCTATTAACCGGAAGTTGACTTCAAACTACCATAACCCCACTGTATGACATATTAGACCACTTCCACAGTATTACATCACATTTTTCCTGAATTTTCAACCTTCATCTTTGAAACACTCTTCAGTGCCCCTCCTCTAGACTTTTTTCACTTTGATGCTTCTTCCCCTCTGTGAAGCTTGAAGTTAACTAAAGGGCTAATGATAACCATCAAAATAAATGATATAAATAATAAATATATAAATAATAAAAAATAAAATAAATAAATAATCAATAAATAAATAAATAATAAATAAAATAAATGATATAAATAATAAATAAATAAATAGCTTCGAATCTTGGTCAGGTCAAATGAAATTTTTCCCCTAACGAAACTTCAGTCTAGGGCTGTATGAGAAATGAATCTGATTGCTCAGTTGGATAATGGCAGATGCAGGGTGACCTTAATCGATACAATTTTTTTAGTCTTAACTATAAGACTAAGTAATTAAAGGAAAGGAGAGAATCTGGTTTACGCGGGCAATGGCCTATGACCCGAGTACGAATACAATCTCAAAGCAATAATTCGATAATTAATTTTTACCACCATCTTCTCCGTGGCAATCGATGAGTCGAAGAAATGAGTTGGAAGCGAAGTTGAATGAGAAAAAAGTGCGCCTCAATACTACGGACAATAATCGGTACAGATCTCAGTGTTTGACCAATTATTTTGAATAATTGTAATTTCGAGTTTGTTCCCAGGAACATGTCAAGAGGTGGGCAGAATGCCTTCATGGCCTTCCAAGGATGATAATTTATTTTATTCCAAGAACACAGTGAGATTCAGCGATATGAAACGGTGAATGCAACGAGCGTGCGAGGAATGTGGTTTTCGACTCATCACTACTACCATAGAAACGCCTTTCTCGGAAAAAATCAAATAAACGGGAAAGTTAAGCCCGGGAAAAGATAACTGTGGAGTAAAATGTCCAAATTGGTTTGATTTATTAAATTATTTGCATACATTATTCACGCCGCTGTCCCAATTTATCACAACCTTCTCTAATAAATGCTAACCACTGAGATATCGTTTACATGGCAGGCGTCTTGATGGTTATCATTACCCTTTAGTTGACTTCAGGCTTCACAGAGGGGGAGGAACATCAGATTGAAACAGTCGATAGGGGGGGGGGACAGAAGAGTGTTTCAAAGATGTACGAGACAAATACAAAGGTAGAACAAAGGTGAGGTAAGTACTGTGTTAATAGTCGAATATGGCATAGAGTGAGGTGAGAGTAGTTTGAAGTGAGAAGTCAACTGCCAGTTAATAGACTTTTT